AATATTAACTTATAGTTAATATTTATTAATACTAATTTATTTATTTAATATTTATTAGCAATTAATATTTATTAATTATTAATAGTAATAAATATTAATTAGTAAGAGATATAAATGAAAAAAGTCATAATAAGCTCCTAAAACACTACTTTAAAGGGGTGTTTACTTGTGACTTAATGAACTTAATGAGTTGAATAGCTTATTCGCATAGTCAAAATAGGGTGTTTACTTGTGGCTTATTCGTCTAGATGATGACTTATTCGTCATATATGGAAATGTTATATTGTCCACATTCAACCAAAAAAAAAAAGACATCCCTACCCTTTATACAATGTCTCCTTCCAAGTTAGGTACACGCCAATATCTTCTCCTCTGTTGGGTCGAATTCTTCTCCTCTAAATAAGCTACTTATGTTTTGCAAAATACCAATATCATTGTTCTGGTAACGTTTTACATACAAAAAAGAGTGAATTACATTAAAGAGTCGTTTACCAAATATTTACTCGGTAAGTGATTACCGGTAAAATTTAACATTATTATTTACTTATTGGGTTATATTTTGATCCACCAAAACGATATCGTATCCAACAATTTACCCGGTAAGCATTTATCATGGTAAGAATCGTTACCCTCACTTACCAGATAAGACTCTTGGTCCTTGTCTCGCTCTTACCGGATAGAATTCTTGGTCCTTTACCATATTCATCCAGTGAGATTGTGTCCCCTGGTAATCGCTTACCTAGGTAAGCGTTTGGTAAACGCCTAAACGGCCCCTTAATCCATGTGGTTTACACCGACCCTAAAGTGAAATTATTACATCAAGCGTCCTTGAGGTTTGTACTTGTTACAAGTTAGATCCCTTTCTTTAATTGAATCAACTCTTAACCCGTTGATTCGGGGACAATTTGGTCGATTTACCCATTCGACATACAATTTCTAGGTCATATCCCAACTCACATAATATCAAAGTAAACTAGACCCCGGACTCGGAAATCAACATCTCCAATCATATAAAAAACAATGAATAAAACTTGAGAAACCCAGTATATCCTACTCAGACAAGACGGTGCACCAGATCATACAAACCCAGTATATCGCACACAAAGGTAGGGTCGAGGTGTAAGACAGTGATGCTAGAATAATTTCCCTTAGATTTGTAAAAAAGGAACTCGAGTCGTCAAAATCTCCACAAAAAAGAGTACGTAAAAGTTTCTTCTTCCTCATTCTACAACACAGTAACTAACCAAGGTATACTTGTTCTCACCTAAACATCAGTTACAAGAAGCTATTCTTCATGCCAACACACCTCTACTTCTTCTTCTTCGACTTGCTCGCCTTCGATTGAGTGTAAGCAGTTCCCTGGAGATTTAGAGAGACAAAGAATCGATTAATCAACCGTCTTTAATGTTGCATTTGGTAGGCAGACAGGACAGAACTGAACAAGACAACACTGGAAGGATAGAGTGAGGTGGGCCTGTTTGGCAGTTGTTGAATGGTTTGGTGCAGAATGATTAAGTGGTCAGAATGATTAAGAGGCTTTCATGATATAGTGGAAAATGAAATTTAATTGTTTGGTAATTGTTTACAATAAAATCAAGGCGCTTAATGGTTAAGGGAGGCTCAGGATACAAAATCATTCAGAGGGTTTTAGAACCATTAAGAGGCATACTTTTTTTTGCCAAACAAGATTCACCTCTTGATGATTCAGATGTTGTCTCTTAATGGAATTATTAAGAGGTAAACAAACAACCCCGTACTCTGGTTGTGTTTAGTACCAATTACCGTTCAACAATGACAAAGTGATAATCTAAATCAATCAATGACAATAGTGATTACTCCCTCCGTCCTAAAATAAGTGTCCATGAAAAACGAACACAGTTTTATAAAAGTGTAACTATTACGCTTTTAATGAACTAAATGACAGTTTTACCCTCAATAATACAGGGAGTAATTAACTTCTTCATCTCACAATTAAGGGTAGAATGGGAAAGTACGCATTTATTTTTAAAAGTGGGACAAACTAAAATAGAAATATGGACACTTATTTTACTACGGAGGAAGTATTTCCTCGTATAGACTTGAGAACATTTTGGAGAAAATTGTGGAAATATAAATGCTAAAAGAACATCCTAGTTCGCACTTTCGGTTCAATATCCCTAATTTTTTGCCAAGTGTCGAGTTAATGGTTTGTTTGCCATGAAAAAACAAGTACAATGGTTTGAAAAGTCAATAACTTGAAAAGAATATCAATATAATTCACATCTAAATGAACCTAAAACAAGAACAAAAAGAAAAACAAGATACTTCAAGAAATCAGTTGAATAATGAACAATAAACAAATTTGGAAAGCTTTTGGGTGTGAAATACCAACCTCCAGCCACTCATCCATAGATGCATCAACAGTCCGAGTTCCGGTTTCCACCTTTGGTCCCCTCTTAGTTTTCTGAGCGTAAAGCAGCAGATTAAAACCATGAAGTCAAGAAATCAGTAATCACCTTAAAAATCAGGTGAAATTGTACAGAATACGTCCATCGACAAACATTATTAACACCAAAAACGAAGACATAATAATTAAATACACATGTATTCACGAGTCTGTCCCCACGAGAAAATGGAAAGGGAAGCACTCTCAGGCAAGAAAATGTGCAGAACATCCCAACATGGAAGCACGCATGTCTAGAAAGAAAGATTGGACTCACTTGTTTACAACATTTATGTTTTTTTAGTTTCAGATTCTTTATTTATTTTTTACTTTTTCCATAGAGAATTTAACAACTTATTTTGTGGGTCCCATTTATATGATCTGATAAGAACTGAAAATGTGATGTTGGATTTCATTTACTTGATGTTAAGAGAATGAAGACGGGAACCATCAAATGGAGAATGAAGGAAAATGGTACAAACAAATTGAAACCAAATTATGCATTTATATAAAGCGAAAACTGCATGAAACTGAAATGTACTTTGGTCTGATTCCTATTTTGTGTAACGTACTTTAGAAACATTCATTTTTATAGCTCAGATATGACATCTCAAACATCTTGGCACCTGGTTTACATCAGAGAATGCATGAAATGCAAAGTATTTGGTCTAGATGTTTGAGATATCACATCTGAGGTACCACAAAAAGATTTTATGCAATTTGCCCTTGTATAAATAACCAAATTTATGAACTCTGTGTCAAATTCTTCAAATGGGTGTGCATACTTACCTTCGAAAGGTTTTGTATCTGACCACGAACCCACAAACCAAGGAAGACAAGAAGAGAAATTCCAAGGGAGACTAGGAACACCGTCTCAATGCTAACAAGGCCACCAGCTTCAATAACTTCAATGGTACCATTGTAGAATGTGTTCTGGTATGGTAGCTGATCTATCTCATAAACTATTGTTCCAACAAGATCAAATGTTCCAGGCTGCAATATAACGACCGCATTATTAGCTCTAGAAATCTACCTATAAATAATGGTGGATAATTGCAATCGTGATAGATCTACCTGTAAGAACTTGCTGACAGCAAATATATAGGGAAAAGTAGCTTGAACTGAAGCAGGAACAGAAGCATTGTTGAAAGCCTGGGGAAAGAGATAACATATGAGTGAGATCAAGTGCTTGTGTAATCAGATTTTTTGCTGAAACAAACGGCATAAAAGATAATCAAATATCGGATAAGATAATTGGGTCCAGAGTAATGATGCTAAATTACAAATTTGTCCATAAAGCAGAAAAAGTTGGCAGGTAAATATATGCAAAAGTAGATTAAAAACATCCATACAAAAATGAGATATTCTTTCTCATTTTGAACCAAGATTCTTGTGTCGTTTTTTTTCAGCAGAAGTGACTAGAGCCAAAAAGAAAAATGGGTTATAAATGGTCTCAAATATGCATATGCGAACTTGTAAAAGTAAAGGGTAAAATCGTTCTACGAACTAATGAAAAGGAAGTGTAACAAAAGCATTTTGAAGGGCGTTGTAAAAATTAGCAAAAGAAGATCAACAAACCGAAAATGTGCAACTTCTTTGGTGTTATTGATGGCAACCGAAGTATAGTCTATTACGTTTACAGAATCATCAGCAGATCAATTAACTACTATTAGGAGAGTTAATGGCACAACGCATGTTGGATTTTCCATGAACGAGTATTACCTGTGCAGAAAGATTCTGAACCAACATGCGGTGATCATAAGGAAGATGAACACTAGCATGAACCGCGAGAACCTTCACATTTTGATCACCTAGTCATAAAGCAATAGTAGCAAGTGAGATCGCTTCTGTATATACAAACCCACAGCTAGCATGAAGCTAACGAAATCATGCCAATAACTAATACTCACTTCGTCCCCAAATAAATGTCCACGATGTAAAAAGCAGACAGTTTTAGAAATGTGATTATTACACATTTTAATTAACTAGATGACAATTTTACCCTTAATTATATTTGTGTTATTTTTAGGTATTTCTTTTTTTTAATACTCAATTAAGAGGAGTCATGGAAAGAACAGGTTCAAAATTCTCCATCTCTTAGTTAAGGGTGTAATTGGAAAGTAGGCACTAACTTTTGAAAGTTGACACTCAATTTGGGACAAACTCAAATAGAAATGTGGACACTATTTTTGGGACAGAGGGAATCCGTGCAATACCAATTTAGAACCATTGTGGAAATCAAGTAGATGTATGTTCAAAGCAAAAGTTAACATGCTTGAGTTAACATAGAAAACTAAAAACTACACAAGGAAGCAACTAAAGCACCACTGAACAAATAGAATGTTACCCTCATTTTTCATTCCAATTAAAAGCTCAGTCTCTTGCCCTGCCACTACAGCTGCAGACAGATAAATAAAAGTAAGTATCTTAGGGAACCTATTACAAGAGACAAAAGAACTGTTCATAATTTTTGAAATAAATTTGTTCAGAAAGAAATGTTTCTTTAGATGACAAGAAATTACTTACTTTTCGCAAGGTTCTTTGGGAAAATACATACTGTTTCTACACCTGGAGCGGGACTATAATTCCCAGCGTTGAAGTCAACGACATCATCATCAACAATCCCAAGATCTCCTCCTTCCTCAACAGTTTCCGCAACAAGCTCAGCATCAGCATCCGAATCTGAGTCAGACTGACACCTAGCAACTACGAAACAGCACCATGAATTAAAACAATCCTAAGAATAAACAAGGACAAAATGCATAAAAATGCAACGAAGTTTGCCACTTTGCCTTAGTTCCTATTTAGTGTAACAGATAAATTTTTTCCTCAATCAATGTAATTAAGTTTCAAATTTCCCTTTTCTACCCATTTTGACAGGTAACTTACTGATCTTGTAGCAACTGATGACATGGATGTCAAGTTTATAGTCCACTTTGACTTAAACCTTTTGCAAATGTGTCTCCATGTCCAGATTACCAGTCAAAATGAGTACAAAATAGATATTTTAAAACTGTCACATCAATCGAGAGAGAAAAATCTTCACCACACTAAATAGGGACTAAATCAGACTTTGTTGCATTTTGGTGTATTTGGCTATGATGTTCAACCAACATTTACACATCAATAGCAAACCAATATCAAAATTTTTGAAAAAGAAGACACAAATTTAGGCTTTACATGTGTTCTATCACATGATTAACTTAACCCAGTCTGAGACCAGGGGAAGCTGAGCTTACATGGTGCATCCTAGTCCAACAACATTTAACGGAAAAGTGGCAGATGCCAAAAAATAACAAAAAGTAAAAGTTCACTTAAGATAAGATCATGATTAACAACATAAAGTGGCAGTTAACATCAACAAAATCATACTGATTACCAAGTTAAACAACCAAATCACATGAAAATAAATTCGATTTCAGACATGTTCCCCATTTGCCAACTATCAACATATTAAGTTCTTCAAAATTGCAAACAAGACTTGCATCAAACACAATTTCTCAAAAATCAGTCAATGTAGTCAACTGCAGCTAAACCTAAAAGTTAAACCATTTATGATATCCAAACACTCTAAATCAGAAAATTCAAGTAATTCATATAGCATGAAATTTACTTTCCCATCTAAAGAAATTAAACAACTTCACAAATTCCAGTAAGGATTCAAGAACGATTCAATTTACAAACCATATAAAAAAAAACTCGATCACTAACAGATCTAATAACACACAAATTACAGGAATCAATAAAACGAAAGGAATCTACTAGATTGAATCCAGATATCAAAACGAAAAGAAACCCGATCTTGATCGGAAAATAAACAGCTTACAATGAATTTAGAGAAAGATAAGATGAATCTAGATCAGAGATGAGAGAAGGGTACCTTGAAGAAAGCAATAAGAGGATAGAAGAAGGAGAGCGAGGAGGAAGGAAACCCTAATCTTCGTCATTTGAGAGAGGGCGGAGAGATTCAACAGAAACGAGTGGTTACGAGACCCAAATGGTTTTTAGGTTTGTTATACCATTTTTGCTTGTTTTCTTGTCTCATTACTTATTACCCTCCTGCAATTTTTTTTATAAATATTATTATATTTTTTATATTTTTAAGAAAATTCACTCAGATAATCATTTCATCCATTTAAATTGTTCTTTTAGTCATTTTTTTCCCGATTTTATCCAAATATCATTACATCTATAATATTACGAACCTGACTAAAAGACAGAAAAAAATTATCAAATTCAATCCAGGTATGCAGTTGCGACAACCAGGTCCATAATTGCAACGATGTCCCTTGCTAACTTGATGAAATTTGATTTTTTTTTTTTGTCTTTTTAGCCAAATTCGCAATATTGCAGATGTGTGTATTACGGACGTAGTGACATTTGAGTAAATCTAGCAGAAGAATGGCTAGGAGACCAATTTGAATGAGTGAAATAGCTATTTGAGTCAATTTCATATATTTTTCTGTAAAAGTTGATTTAATGACGATAATGATATATGTATCTTTTTTATGTTACAATCAGATAAAATTATTTATTGAAAATGTAAAAATAAAATTTTAATGTTATGTTTGAAGAGAAAATTAATAGGTATATATGCATTTAATTATATATTTGAGTGTAATTAAGACGTCCATTGATTAAAAATACCCAAAAATTATATATATACATACATTATATAGACTTGAGATCATGTGAGACCAATGGTTTTTTGTGAGACCCGTAAGACCAATTCTCAACTCTTGGATTAGATTTACAATCGTCAGATTTGAACATTCATAAATGTCACGAGACTTCTCAATAATTACAAAATTGTCATCTTTCAACTTTAGACCATTAGATCATTAGTTTATAAAGTTGATCAATGAACATAAATTGGTCTTACGGGTCTCACGAAAAACCTTTGGTCTCACATGAACCCAACCCTATATATATATATATATTGTTATGATAATATTTATACACAAATGATAAATTATTTTATTCAATCATATAGTTTTAAAGAGGGTAAAAGCGGGATTTTAAAACGAGTGTCTTGACGAACGTCGCGTCTTTAACGTCGTGAGAAGCTCCATAGCATTTGTGTAAGGCATGACACATGTCGTGACAACTTGAGACGCAACATGGCGTGCGTTTTCTTTTGTTTAAACGCCACGAAATGGCATATTGAACTCATAACTGCTTAATAAGGTCTATATACTCATGAAAGTATGACTGAGATGATATAAACAAGACATGATTGTCATAAAAGTGTCGATAGTCGTTTAAGCTCATACGCATAATTGAACCAAAACAAGAACAATTGAAGATACACGAATACGATCAGATACTATGAATCCAAACGTGCCAAATTGAACGAAAACTGTAGTGAACAGTGCGTAAACAACATAACCAAGAAAAAATTGTGTATGGCCCATACACCTACTACACGAAGCTAATAACACGATGACTGACGGCACCCAGAATAAAGTGCAGGCAACCACAAGCAGATAAATTGAAACTACGAAATACCATATATCATAAGAAGTTTAAAGTCAGAGATCACAAAAGCAGCCAGAGTAACCACAATGGTAGTGCTTGATTGGTTTGAGCTTGACTCCAAAGGTCAAAAGTACCTGGAGGTCTCAGGTTCAGATCCAAGGAAGAATAAAAATCCCTTTGTGGCCACGGAGGTTCAAATGCGGTGACTCCAGACTATCTGCAAAGCAGGTGGTCGTCCTGGGATTAGTCGGCTCACATAACGGGTTGGATATCGAGGTTATTAAAAAAAACAGCCAGAGTCCATGTAACTAAACGCACTCCACTGTCTACGTCAACGCTATCTAATAATAGTGGGACGATCCCAATAAATTAGGCTATGAAATATACGTGCTGAAGGAGGCAGCGAAAAGGGGGTGTCATGGTTGATGAGAGTCGGGTTTGGTTTTTTCAATTGTGGTTCAGGGTTATGAATTTTGAGTGACTGATATATGTCGTATATAGAAAGTCGGAGCATACCTTCAAGCAATCAGTAGATTGCGTCTTACCAACAAGCTCTCGCATTGAAAGAGAACACGAAACTCCAACGTCCAAATCTTCTCGCAAACCATGTGAAAAAAAAAGCTTTTATTCTGGTATTGGAACAGTTTGGACGAAACAATGTACTACACAATTCAATTTTCTACGTAAACTTCTTGTTGATATTTAAGTTTTCCGTCATTGGTTACAGATCGAGCCACATGGAAGGATGCAACAGTCTCAAAAGAGACCAATCTAAAAAAACGTCGTTTATCATAATTCACTGAAGTGGAGATACTTGCGTTCGAGCTCCCATCTCGCTCTTTGTTGCCAACTTTGTAATATAACCGACTAACCGTGCAAATGGATACAAACACACTGTCCTCCTACACTCAAGGCATTACGTCACACCTTAAAATGTATGAAATTAACGCTATTATCAAGCATCTCAATTACTACAAAAAGAAAGGGTATGCACATTTTACTCAAAAAAACATGAATTGTTTATATTATTAAGTATTAAACGTCGAACGAGTCTTTATCTACGTCAAATGGAGAGAAAAGTCTTAACTTTATTCCAAACGAGATAAAGAATAATACAGCCGTTTTGACAAAGAACTCGACCCAATAGGATCCATCACATGTCTCATTAGTCTGTCGTGCGTGATAACCTCGTTTTCGAAGACAGACCAAACATCTGTCGTATAAATCGGAATGAGATGACGTAATTAAATCTCTTGAGCAGTGCACGTGAAATGTTTTAAAATGACGAAGAAAACTATAAAAAAAAAACCTGAATAAGGACTACCAACAAAAGGATGACTGACTAAACTAAATCAAAATTACTAAATTCAAATAATAATTTTTAAGAAATAATAAATCATGGTTAAACATTTATGAAAAAACAAAATACATTAAAATATAACAAAATTTATCTGTATTCATACTATGTGAACACTGAATCAAAACCGTCAAGTTAGGGGTCGTTTACCAAACGCTTACTCGGGTAAGTGCTAATCAAGTCACATTACCTCACCGGATGAATATGGTAAAGATCAAAGAGACAAGAGCCAAGAGTCTTACCCGGTAAGTGAGTGTGACGACTCTTACCACGGTAAACACTTACCAGGTAAATTGTTGCATGCGATGTCGTTTTGGTGGACTAAAATCTTACCTAGTAAGTAAATAATAGAGTTAAGTTTTATTGGTAAGCACTTACCAGGTAAATATTTGGTAAACGATCCCTTAATGTAACAACGTTTTTCAAAATTTTGGTTGATGTCTCTTATATTTGCTTACATCCCAGAACACCCATCAAAAGTTTATTGTGTACGTCTATCATACCCCAAAAAAATTACTTGTGAAAATCGGTTGAGTGGGTTCACGGGACTTCATATGTTCGCACCTGCATCTCCTTGATTTTTGTTCTACATACATAATTCATTCATGTCCAGTCTCATTCCAATTGTCACACCAAACACGAGACGACAGTTTTTGTTCTATTATGTCCCGTACTGCAACCTCTTCGGTGGTTTATTTGCTTCGGGTCTGTCTCTCGGCCTTTCGATTTTGTTTTGTTCCTGGGCCTTTTACCTTGTTTTGTGTTGTTTGGTTGTTTTTTGGATGCTCGACTGATGCTTTTAGCCTTTTTTGAGCCCCTTTCTTCATCTCACAATTGGTTACGTCGAGGGTTTTTGTATCTAAAATATACTATTCTGTGTTTTCAATAATTTGTTGCATTTCATAAAAAATTCGTCCCATGACATACTCTAAGGGGCTGTATACCTAAATACTTACCCGGTAAGCACTTACCGTAAGGAGTTAACACTATAATTTATTTTACCGGGTAAGATTGTAGTACATCAAAATGACATTGTATGCAACAATTTACCCGGTAAGCACTTACCCGGATAAGAGTTGTCATTCTCACTTGCCGAGTAAGACTCTCCATCTTTATCAGTGTTCTTACCGGATAAGATTTTGATCTTTACCATGCTCATCGGTAAGGAAAATTACCCGATAAACACTTATCGGGTAAGCGTTTAGTAAACGGCCCCGAACATTTTTATCTTAATACAACCACGTGTTAAAATCCGTTATATTAATCGATAACTTTATAAATTCAGATGGTTAATTCAGTCCCAAAATAAACATTAAGGGGCTGTTTGGCAATTGCTGAATTGTTTGGTGTATAATGATTAAGTGGTCAGAATGATTAAGAGGATCTCATGATATAGTGTAAAATGAAATATAATTGTTTGGTAACTGTGTACAATAAAATTAGGGCTCTTAATCGTTAAAGGAGATTCGGGATACAAAATCATTCAGAGTGTTTTAGAACCATTAAAAAACATATTTTTTTTGTCAAACAAGATTCAACTCTTAATAATTCAGAGGTTGACTCGTAATGGAACTATTAAGAAGTAAATAAAAAAGAAATAATTTGGTGCAATTTTCCTTAAATTAAGGAAAAAACGGATTTTTTGAGTCCAATTCAAATAAAAAGTGTTATGAACAAGTCTCGTGTAGGCAAAGTGTGATTGAATTTTTGTAGGCAAACTAAAAAGGGTGTTCTAAAAGGCGTTAGAAAGAAGGTTGGGTAAAGCTGACCCGAATCCAAAATCTGCGGGTGTACTTGTTCTATGTAGATTCTCTCCAGTAAAAATCGCCAACAATTCCATCTATAATCACGTTTTCTTTCTCCAATTTCCGCCTTGCTGGATCGGATAACGGATAAACCCTAAGAAACCCACCAAGAATCACTGCTAAATTTAAGCAAATTGCGCTTTCAAACCTTCTCTGTTCTCTTCTGCAAAATGGATAATCTGTCGCCCCCAAATCAATTCAACTCTGAATCGAGGTATCAGTTCTTAATCCCAACTCCTAATTACAAACCTTTCGTATACATAATATCTATGATATATATACATATGATGTACTGGGTCGATGTTTCAAGCGATTTTCAATCTTAAGGAATTAAGATATGTGAGCATTTGTGTTATGAGGGGGAAAATTAACTCTGGCTTTCTGGTGTTGAAGATTCATACAATTTGATTTTTATTATGATTATGTGGTTTCAATTGTTATGAGCTTTAGATTCTGTGCTTGGCTGTTGCTGATTATGGATGAGGAATTTGATTTGATTTGATAAATGAGGTTGAAGTTTATAATATTTTAATGTAAAAAGTGTGATTTTGAAGTGATAATTGTTTGTAAGATGAAGTTCAATGATTCAGAACTTGATGCTATACTTAGCTGTTAGCTGAAAAGCTAATTGTTGGCTAATAAGCTAGCCGTTAATGATAATTTAAGTCATGTTTGGTAAAAACTACTCCTTAGCCCCTCCGTCCCAAAATAAGTGTTCGGTTTTAGAACAGATCACTAAATTTTCAAATATGTCGTTCATTAACGTACAAATATTTACGGATAGTGAAGAGAGAGAGAAATTAATTAAGAGTAAAGTTGTCGTTTAGTTAACCGAAAAGGCATTGTGTACGTGGACACTTATTTTGGGATGGAGGGAGTAGTTAATAAGCTAGATGACAAAGTAAAATGACCTATGAGGACATGATGAAGAATTAATCGAAAAATATAAGGCGCATGGTTGGAAAAAAAAGTATTGAAAATCTTATTGAAACGCTACTTGAAGTAGTGTTTTTAAAAGCTACTTTCTGGCTAATCAAACAGGGCTTTTTCAATAAGCTCAAAAAATAACTAGCTTATGGTTGCCGAACATGGGTTTGGCTGTTCCGGCAGTTTATTTTGAATGAAGCATTTGACTAGATTCGCTTAACTTTTAGGAGATTAAATCCATATCTACTTTAGTTACATATGTTTTGCATCCCCTTCAAGACTATCTTGATGGGTCAATATGTAATTTACATGAAAACTTTATGAGAAACGGAATGTTGCAACTTTCATCACCTTCCCCAAAGAGGAAAGTGATGAAATTTAATCGGATGGTGGGTGCATTAATATTCACCTGCTTGCTAACGCTCTTACACTAGCCGGGGTCTTCATGGAAACAACCACTCTACTCTTTGAGGTAGAGTTTGACCTTCGTACATCTCACCCACTGGACCCTACTTTCGATCAGAATTTACTGAGTCAGTTTGGTTTTTTGAAGTATATAATATTTGTATACGGAAAATATTCACACACACACTCTTCACCTTTGATGAGGTTTGAGCCCTTGACCTCTTGGGAGGTTGGGCCCTACTGGTAACCCGGGTACCGTTGGGCCACTCACCCTTTCGTTTGGTTTTTGATGGGGACATTAATTCGACTGTTCGAGCTCCTTTATCTTTACTTATCTTCTCCTCTTTGGCATTTGTGTATTGCTGTTGAAAGGCCTGGATCAGAACCAAAAGACAGAAAGCTTCAGAAGGCGGACCGTGAGAAACAAAGGAGAGATCGTCTAAATGAGCAGTTTACAGAATTGGGAAAGACACTTGGTATGTCAACATATTGTTTTTAGTGCTACTATCAAAAGGGAAAAAATATTATCTTAAATGGTTCTCGATCTTTATTCTTGTTAGAGAGAGTTCAAGAGAGAACAAACACTAAGGAGAAGAAGGGAACCCATCTGAACCATCCATCTATTTTAATCCAATGTTGTGAAATAGGGGCATTTACAATTTTGCCAAAACTAAATCCATGATTTTAAGGGCGGTTACATTCAAATCTAGACTATTTGTTCTTTAGATCCAACGGTCAATAGGGTTCCCTTGTCATCCTTTTTTCGGGGTTCTCTCTTGAACATCCCTCTACTCCTGTTATGGAATAAGATAAATGGTTGAATAGGGCCTTCTCTTTATCTCACTGATATGTGTGTGTGTGTGTATGAGAGGCAATATCAGCATACATCCTATCTGCATACCGTACCTCATGCGTGAGATTTACTCGGTTTGTTTGGTTATAAGTGACACAACATCACTAAACCAAACGAACCCAATACATCCCACCTGGAGGTGGGGTCTGGGGAGGGTAAGATGTACGCAGACGTGACTTCTGCCACAAAGAGTAAAACGGTTATTTCCATGAAGACAGTGTCACCACTACAACAGTTTATTGAGTATCTGCTATATGTTTGTATTAAAAGCACAAACGTGAAACGTCCATATCAGGCAGGTTATTATTTAGAGTTCAGGGGAAACAGAAAACTGTTTTCAAACTAGGAAGCACATTTAAGAACCGATAAGGACAAGCTTTTATGAGAACAATAGTAATTGAACTCTAACATTTTGAAAACTTCCTCAATCTGGGAAAGATAATATAATGTTACTCCCTCCGTCAATAAGTGTTCAAATTTATATTTTTAGTTTGTCCCGAAATAAGTGTCCACTTTCAAAAGTAAGTGCATACTTTCCAATTCTACCCGCAGGAAGTCATTACTCTCTATGTTATTAAGGGTAAAATTGTCATTTAGTTAATTAAAAAGTGTAATAATTATACATTTCTAAAACTGTGCGCCTTTTTATTGGACATTTATTGTGGTGCGGAGGGTGTATTTAAACTGTAGAGGGGTTTCATGGAGTCGATGCATACTCTCTCTATTACATTCTCACTTTTTGCACAAGCTGGTGGTCTTCACTGAATCCCGCTCCATCTTTCGGGGTAGAGGTCGGGATATACTGGGTTCGTTTGGTTTGGTTGTAACTTATCCCCCTTGAGTTCTGTTTTCGGGAAAGAAAGAAGTTATTTTGCTTGTGTTATTGTACTTGGCTATATGGTAAGTTCAACACTGAAATGTTAAATTTTTGAACAGATCCCGATCGACCTAAATTTGACAAGGCAACTATACTTGGTGATACTATCCAGATGCTAAATGATTTGACCGATCAAGTCAGCAGACTAAAATCCGAGTACGCAATGCTCACTGAAGAATCTCGTGAGGTAACGTTCTGTTTCACTTGCAAACGTGTCTTTTATTTGCTAGAATTTATAGTTCTTTAGTAATCGTCACGAGTAAAACCAGCGGAAACATGCGTATTTGGATGATTTCAAAACACCCCTATTTGCGAAAATGTTTATGGTACAAAATTGGGCAAAATGCAACAAAGTTTGCATTAGTTCCTATTTAGTGTAATAAAGGATTTTTTTCCTCAGTCAATATAACAAGGTTTCAGATTTTCCGAAGTTCCAAATATTCTATTTTGTATGCATTTTGAGCGATAGTCAGTTGATCTTGTAACATTTGATGATGTGGATGTCAAGTTTATCGTCCACTTCGCCGTAAACCCTTTCGGAAACATTTCATAAACTGGTATCTGCGTCGTCAAATGTTACAAGATCATTAAGTTACCGGTCAAAATGGGTACAAAGTAAAAAAAATTGGAACTTTGTTACATCGATGGAGAGAAACAATTCTTCGTTGCACTAAATAAAAATTGCACAAAAAAATTAGTTCCCCTATTCTCAAAATATTTGTAGTTCTCATTTGAACCGGGTTCTATGTGTGTGTGTGTGTGTGTGTGTGTATATATATATATATATATATGGTCAGGTTCAGGGGAAAACCACAAGAAAATGAAAATTTGAGGAACACCTTAGTAACCACTCATTTGTACATATACGCACTCATTTGTACATATCCGCATGTGCATACAAGTAATTTGTAAGTAATTCGATATGCACTTGTGCATAAAAACCAAGAAACATCTTCAATTACTTGTATGCACATATGCATACTTTGCAGATGAACGGTTATTAGGATATTCCTCAGTTTTTCATTTTTTTAGGTTTCCCTTGAAACTCCCTATATATTATAACCAAACTTTGTAGCATTTTGCTCTACAAAATTCTATCAAAAAAGAAAAAGAAAAAAAGCAAGTGTAAATATTGCCAAATTAGTAGTCTATTAAGCTGGAACTTTTTTTTTTCTTGAATGATATCAGTTGACTCAAGAAAAGCACGATTTGCGAGAAGAAAAGGCGTCCCTCAAATCCGATATCGAGAACCTTAACCTTCAGTATCAACAACGGCTTAGGGCTATATACCCATGGGGTCATATGGACCAATCGGTTGTAATGCACCCCCCTTCGTATCCCTACCCGGTCCCAATGCCTATGCCCCCCGGATCTATTCCAATGCACCCAACCATCCAACCGTACCCCTTTTTCGGAAACCAAAATCCCGGGGTTGTTTCCAACCCATGTTCCACTTTCTTTCAGTCCATCCAATACGTATCTCCGGTTGCGCAGCCGAGTACTAGGTCCCACGTTTCTAGCAGACAAGGTTCTAGAAACAAATCATCGGAACAAGGAGAGAGCGGAAGTGGAAAAGACGTGGATTCTAATGATGTAGCGACTGAACTCGAGCTCAAGACACCTGGATCCACCGGAGATCAGGTTAGATGTTGCTACTTCATATATTCGTTGGTTTTAGAACGACAATTTTGACCTTTCAAAAACTTGTTGTCCCATGTTTGGTGTGATATTTAAACCGGGACATGAATGAGGGACACAAAATGCATTTTTTTACAAAAATCAAGGAGATGGTACAGGATTGGTAAATTACTAAACCACCTATGTCAAATTAAAAACCTAAAACCGTGCATAGTTCTTTCACCTGCATACCCAACCAACCTACTTAGGGAAATGCAAAAAAACGTCGTTTTTTGCATTTTCTTTTTGTTCACGAAAATGGCCACTCTACCTTTTGTGATGGAGGACAGGTCGGCATACATCTCACCTCCTAGATCCTATTTTCGAGTGAGATATACTGCTATACTGGGATTATTCAACTTATGTGTTATAATCACATTATATTATTGTAGGAGGGTTCACTGGCTCAATCAAAATCCAAGAAATTGCATAGGAAGGAGAATAGCGTTTCCGATGAGAGCTCTCCAAGCGGGTGTTCATCATCTCGGACCATACAAGCTAGCTCGTCAAATAGCGTCGTTGGCGGCAAGAATTGTGATCGATAAGATCAACATCACCGCCTTAATCGTGTTATCGCTCTGCGTAGATTGCTAACTTCTCACAATGAAAGGTCAGGTACTAAATCTGTCTTCGCCTTATAAAATATAAATACCAATGCTTAATACGTTTACAGAATGAACATAGCACGGGTTCCGTGTTTCGACCGTAGTATGTAATGGTTGTTTTACAATAAGAAAAAGGTTATTTAGCTTATTGGCATCTCTTGATACTATCTTTAACTTAAGAGTCTGTTCTGTTAGCAGGTTAATAGCTTAATGGAACTTACAGCTTTCGTCCTATGATTTGTTAATAATTGCGGATTTTGTTTTTGGGTTTTAAAAATTACAGTTTTCATCCACGTGGTTTGCATTTATTGTTGTTTTCATCTTTTGTCAGTGGTTTACCGTTAAGTATAAGGGACAAAAACAACAATGAATCATAAACCTTAGAAACCAAAAAAAGGAGCAAAGAATTTGTAAACAATAGGGACGGAAACTGTAATTTCAAAAGCATGAGGATGGAAATAACAATTTTCAACAAACTACATGGATGAAAAACGTAGTTTTTACTCTAAAATCAATAACGTTGGTACTAATATCGTGTTGGAACCACAAGGGTGGTGCCTGATTGGTTTGAGCTTGACTCCAAAGGTCAAAAGTACTAGAAGGTCCAGGTTCAAATCTAAGTAGGAATAAAAATCTCCTTGTGCCCATGGAGGTTCAAATGCGGTGACTCCGGGCTATTTGCAAAGCAGGTGGTTGCTCTGGGATTAGTCGGCTCGCATAGCGGGTTGGATATCCAGGTTGATAAAAAAAAATATCGTGTTGGATTTTCATATCGGTTTGATACAGTTATCTTTCTCATCTCTAAGGGCTTTTTCAGAAAGATATACAGACGGGTTATACATGTCCTAGCATGATGTTTAGAAAGATATTCAAAAAATTGTTCTTATCCAATAAGCGTTTTTTTTTATCGATTTTATAATTTCATATAAAATTTTACACACTTGATACCTAGAGATGCATAAAAAACCCAAGTCCGAAATAATCTAGGTCTAGTAAGCCTGAGCCTAGGCGCGGCCTTAAAAGTCCAATCAGGCAAAAAACAATGTCGGATTAAAGTCCGTCTCAAAAAAACCGGTAAACGCGAAAAAAATTCTAAAAAGCCTGATTTGAAAAGGCTCAATCAGATTCTTGTTCAATCCCAAAACCGAGTGCGGCTTCAAAAAACCCAAGTTTGTATTTGCTTATGGAAAAAAACAAACTTGAAAAACCCAGACCTAAAACCTAAAAGACCTAGACGTTGTACATTTCTTCTAGGCATGTGAATGGGACAGGGGCCCCAATCTTGATCCCCGTCCCCATGTGCCCATCCTCATTGGGGAATATGATCACATGGGGACGGAGATCATCAACGGGGAATCGAGGACTTTTTTCTTGTTTACATGAGATGTTTTAAATCAAATGTGTTAAAACACCACACTCGATCCATAATGATGGGTGTTTAAAACTGACATTCCCAAATTTTTGTTTTTATGAAGTATCAAATATTCATATGTTAACAAAATTATAACATCATATGTAATTGTTTAATCAAATACTTTTGGCTCTCCATGTTTTTTATCTAAAAAAAGTAAAATAATTTTAGAAAAAACGTACATAGAAAAATATCAAAATATTATTTCTAATTTTTTTAAAAATTATATATTTAATAATAAATATACAATAAATACATTGTGGTGCGGTGTTGGGTTACCCATCCTCATTCATATAAATATATAATATATTTACCTGATCTTATGACCATCCCTAGTTTTTAAATTTCGAGGATGCCGTCCTCGGTCTGGTTTTAGTTTTTACTAGGAATCTCCAACCTTGTTGGGACAGATACACCAAATTTTTAAATGGAACGGGTCTCATTTCAATGCGTTATTTCTACTCAATGGTAAAGTCCGAAAAAATATCTAAAAAGCAACAAGGATCTAATTTGTTTGGGCTAAGGTTGGTATCGGAGATTAGCCACTCCCTTCTTATCTGCCTTCGTCCACGTGTCAATTTTAAAATTCAATTAGCCCCATCTCTATATACTTTTGTCACTTACTACATAAATATCGACTTTTATATATTTAAGTAAAAAAGATTAATTACCGACAATACCGATTGAACCGACACGCAACTCATCTTTTAGAGTGTATTTGGTGTTCAGACATGACAGGATATGTAAAAAAGATACTTATTTGATGTTTTAGAAGAGAATTAAGTTTTATTTTGAAGTTATATTGATAAAATATAAGTTTGTTTCACCTTGTTAAAATGGGGTAGGGGTGGAACAGGCATGTTCCACTTTGTTTCACTATGTTCCTGTTTGTTCTACATAAAAGTCATGCCAAACATAAGACAAAGATCTCTGTCCTGTAATCTGTTTTGTCTAGTGTATCAAACGCACCCTTAAGGTCTCATATGTGTACGTATTTAAGAGTCGACTCAACGGTCGAGACTAGTGGAGAGGTTCAAACCAACCTTTTCTAAAGGTTTAATTCAAACTTGAATCTGTTGTGTATTTAAACAAATTCATAATGTCCCTTCATCAACTGAGGTATGCGTCTAAAGGTAAAAAAGCCTATACATTTATTTTTAACTATATTTCGATCATCACTGCCACCGCCGCTAATCACCTCCACCTCTGCAGCTACCACTTCCCCTCCCTACGGAATAATTTATGTTAACTTTAACCTCAAGCAAGTAAATAAAACACAACCAAATGTCGTTCATCAAACGCTTACAGGGTCTCACTTGCTTTCTGGATGAACATGACAATGACCGAAAAAGTTATTCATAAAAAAGTCTAGCAAAAAAACTGTGAATCTTTTACCTGGTAAATATTTTACTGGATAAAAGATGTTTACCGACAGATAATTTTACTGATAAAGTCTATAATACAGTAATAATTTTTTTTTTAGGTAAAAGGTGAAATCCCATGATTCCCATCAATATCAAGCCCATGGTTAGAGAGACACGTGGCAATTGGAGGAGCTATCTCTCATTTATCCACATATCTTTTTCTATCTTTATTATTCCATCTTATGTTGGATGCATCAAGGCTATGTTGTACATATATAAATCATTAAGTTTATATTAATTAATTAAATTTTAATTTTACCTTCATATTTTTTTAAATAATTATAAATTTTTAATCATTTCCTCATATTTTAAATATTCATACATAATAATTAATTTAGAATTAAAATTTTAACTTTAAAAAATTCATCCTTATTTTAAAACAGACTTCAATAAAAAAATATGAAACCTTATTTTACGATATAGAAAGTACTTCATCTGTTTTATAACTGCCACTAAACTTGTAACCAATATAAAACGATCATGATTTACAGGGCCGACCTTATGGATGGGTGGTCTGGACAGCGGGCCCATGGACGAACCTAGAATTTTTTTCCATTGACTATAAGAAAAAACCTACAGCGAAAAATTTTCAAACAGTAGCACCGGTTGACTATAAGAAACAAATATACGATTTTTTTTTTCCCAATCGGTGACACTATTTGACTAAGAAAATGACATTGATAAGATTTGAATTTGGGTCTGGAGTGGAATAAAAGTCTTGCAAATCAACTTTACCAAATAAAACTTGTTCTCATTGTAGTTTCAAAATACATACGGTAGCACACAATAGATTAATACGGTTGCACCTTTCACGGACCTAAAAAATTTTACCCTTCAACGGAGAAATAATACGGTGGCACGTGCCACCGTAACCACCATGGTAGGTCCGCCATGACGGCGGTCCAAGTCCAAGGGCATCAAATAGCTCAATATTAGTCATGTATTATTAAAAATTTAATGAAATTGTTACTAAAAAGACTTGAACCTAGGTCATCTAGTCTGGTATTATTAGGAATCTTTTATCAATGAGCTGAAGATTATTTTATTTATATTTATCTAGATTTTATTTTTAATACTTTGCTCCCTATTCCCCATTTTCTTTTCTTCACTTCCGATTAATTTTTAAAGTTCATTTTTGTCGTGCTTTTACAACAATAAATATTTATTTGAAATAAAATTAATAGCACAATTAAGTATAATTTATTATTTTAAGAAAACCTTGAAAACCTTGTCATAATACTTGAAAATTATTTTTTTTGTTATGTGTATAATTTCGTCAAACATGTTTATTCAAAAAATTGAGTGTGGATTTGTTGCAAATGATTGGATATGGACTAACATAATTTAAACAGTTTTACATACCCTAAAATATATTTACGTTACTTTTTTCTGGTTGGGGCATGTTTTAACGTTTCCGCTCAGGACATCAAAAAGCTTTGGGCCGACCCTGAGATTTAATTACCTCATACTTAATACTAACATATGATTAAATATAAACCAAACCATTAAAACTCTGCCTAAAAATGTAGCAGAATTTATCCAACTTTAGTCGCTAATACAAGGACCAGTCCACATGAGATCGACATGTGTCCATCGTTGTCAGTGAACCATGAATTGAGTACACCACAACAACTATTTCTCAACCACTAAGATTGTTGAAAGATTCTCATCAATCAAGTCATTGTTAAGTACATCTGAAACAAAATTACTTTAACTTCGACAAACAAACCCTGATTTTGCATCCCGTCTAATGTATACAATGATTAACAACCTAAAAGCTAGTATTCAACAAGACGGAAATGCTTAACAATAACGAGAGCACGTGGGAATGACCTGCGATGAACAACAATGTTTTTGATGTATCTGATGATACAGGTCGATGCTGAGAGTTGATTGAATAGTGAAAACAGATATATGAACCATTTGAGATAAACCATCAAATGGAACTTACATAAAAACAACGACAACTTAAAAAGCCTACTTGTTTATGCTAGTGCTCGACCAACCATTTGAACAAACTGGTTTGTACAAGTATTTGACTTGTTTAGAATGACGTCTGAACCATCTTTCGAATAAGACTTGCAAAAGGGATAACCGTATAGACTATTGACAAAAGACTGATGATCGGTGGGAAGTGGATCATAAATGATATAAGATGTATTCTACTTTTGTCAAACGATGTCATGGACGATTAATTATTTAACATTTCGACTTACTTTATAATCAAAATGTAACGAAAATTTGTCATAGCTTTTAAACAGTGTCACGATAGATTTTTTATCAACCAGCACACGAAACCGTAAGTTTTCTTCTATTTTGTACTGATTTACCCAATAAATGAGTTTTTAGATTGAGCAACATGGATTTATTCTCATGCAACATTTTTACATGTAATTAAACATTACAATATAACTTGACATCCATATATCAATAAGAAGAAAATCTAATGGTTACCAGTCAAAATACGTGCACAGTAAAAATAATTTAACTTTTGTAACGTTAATTGAAAAATAATTTTGATTATACTAAACAAGAACTATAATAAATTACATGTTTCGTCCATCTGGTTAGGTTTTTTTTAGCAATCCTTGTTTATTTTTTTTGGAAATTTGACCAAACGTGTCGTTATGGTTGCGTTTTTAACGAGTTACATCACCGTGGTTGCATTTTCTTAGTGAGTTGAATCATGTGGTTTAAGTTTTTTAATGAGTCTGGTCCCTGAATAAATTTATGACCTGGGTTCCTGTGGTTGCATTAAAAACTCGTAAAAATGCAACCATAGGAACACGATCCGTTGCATTTTCATAAAAAAGACAAGAATCGTTAAAAAAACATATATCCACCGGACGAAACATGCAACTTACATTAAAAACTAAGAGGGTTTCCAAAGGTTGCATTAGATATTTAAAAGAGATAAATAATATTTTATTTAATATATTAAATATTTTAATAATATGATTGATGTTATAATATCTAAAATGGAGAATTGTTGGAGATGAATGTAATATTTTTTGAATATTTCAATTTTTGACTTCCTGTTTTGAAGAAAATTTGGAGAACCTATTTAAGATGCTCTTAGGAGCCGTTTACCAGACGTTTAGTCGGGTAAGTTAAACACCAAGTCACATTACCTTATCGTATGAATATGGTAATGATCAATAATATTACCTGATAAGAGCGAGAAAATGACCAAATGTCTTACCTGGTAAGTGAGGACGACGACTCTTACCACGGTAAACGTTTACCGGGTAAATTGTTGCAAACGATACCGTTTTGGTGGACTAAAATCTTACCTAGTAAGTAAATGATAATGTTAAATTTTACCAGTAAACGCTTACGGGGTAAGTGTTTGGTAAACGACCCCTTACTCTCTCTTCTAAAATAGGTGACCATGGTGAAAAAAAAGGCATACAATTTTAAGTTTGTGTAATTATTACATTTTTTTAATTAACTAAATAACAATTTTACCTTTTAATAATAAGAGAAAAACTTTCTGCATCAAACTCCATCTCATAACCAAGATTAAAATGAAAAAAATAGACATCTCCTTTAAAAGATAGACATTTATTTTAAAATAAATTAGAATATAAATATGAACATTTATCCCATAATAGATATAATATATTTATTAGTATAACTTTAAATGAATAGTGCATAAGAGTATCTTCGACATTCATGCTGAAATAGGAATGACAACGGACAAAATATTGGTATCCTCGTCTTTGAAACCGATAGCTAAAACCGTCATCGTAACCGCTCCGATCCCCGTCGGGTCCCTGCGGTTTCACCGATCCCTGTTGGGGAACCCATTAAGGGTAAAAATCATCTTTTTCACCGTTGGTTATAACCGAACCCGAACCTAAAACCAATATGAAAAAAATTATAATATGCTAATTTTCACAATTAAAAGTAAATTACATTTTTTTAAAGATGTATGTTTAAATGTCTCAAAAATAATCGAACTAATTACAAACAATGTATTAGATTACAATATAAAACTAAACAGAAATTCAAACATCATACAACTAAAATCACAAGTTTAGACAAATAAACTAGATTTTTTGGTGAACTTTATTTGGGTTGTTGAGGTAAAGTGAATAAAAGTCTTTTAAATTTTAATGTTACTATTTTCTTTTAATGATATTATATATACACATATCGGGCGGGGCCGGTGATCACCGTCTCCGCCCTCGTCCCCGTTAAAATCCCCAAATTTGTCCCTGATCCCTGTCCCGTCCCCGATAAGATGTCCCCGGACCCGGCCCAAAAGTTCCGGTTTTCACCATCAGTTTCGGGGTTTTTTTTGCCATCTCTATGCTGAAATAGAGAATAAGGATTTTAGTAATTTTTTCATTCCAACAAGTATGTTATCTTGTATGCTAAAATAGAGAAAAATGAAAAATTGAAAAAATCTCTTAATAGAGAGGTCAATTATTATTTTAATACCTTTCACCAATAAAAAATATTTATAATAAATATTTAAAGAAAAAAAATATTTTATTAAATACTAATAATATAATTAATATTAAAATTGTTAAAATAAAATAGTCTTTAACTTTAATTTTTCCTTAAATTTTTTATTTTAAAGAAAACATAGAAATATTAGCAATGAATCGTTGTTTCCACGCGCCAAGATGGAGCGTGAAAAGGAGTTTTGTAAAAACAAAGCATCATCATTATACTCATCGCCTCACGGCCACCTTTACTCTTACAACCACAGTATCCCTAGCAGCAGCATTTGGTATCTTCACAAGATCTCCCACCAACCACCACCATCTTTCTCGCCGCCTCCGACCTCCAACTACCTCCCCAAACAATGGCCATGGTTTCAACTTCTCTCACACCAGCATCGCAACTCTCCGGCCATAAATCAGCCGCCGGTTCTCCACCTCTTTTCTCTGGACTCCGCCGCTCCTCGAAGCTCGACTCTGCTTCGCTCTCCACTACTCAGTCGTTCTTTCAATCGGTCAATTCTCACATCCGTATCTGTTCTCCTTCTACTCGACCTTGCAGAGGCATCGTCGCCATGGCCGGCACCGGAAAGGTATAATTGTGTTTCGATTCGGTTATCATTTATATGATATTAGATTGCAACTTGGCATTGTAGATGAGAATCATGAGAAGTTCATCAAATTTCTTTTGTTAGGAACGATAACCACACACTCGATGCTAATTGCAGGAGTGAAAAAGTTAAAAAGTGAACACGGTACTTCCGTGGTTTAGCAATTTGAAGCTTTGCTCGGATTTTTTTTAATACTGGTAGCATTTTATCAGCCAATTTCAGAAGAAAAAAGGATGAATGTTATTGATTAACAAGATTCTTAACGTTTAATCTGTATGGCTTGCTAATTGAGTATTTACTGGGAAAAATGTAAAAATAGATATATATGTAGTGCTAGGTTTTATATGTTAATGACGTGTTGACTTGAAAGTAGTATTAAACGAGTTTGGGTTACCACATTGACAAAATATATTCCGATGTATGGTAAATGCTTTTGCTCTCAATTTTTTCAGAACATATGATATGTGTATAAGCAATGGGCATCGATCTTATGATTTCAGACCATTATTATAGTTATAATGAAATTTTCTGTCTTTGTCTTGAATGTACACGTCTCTATCCACAAGGTTTCTGAGATAAGGAGTTAGAAAAAGATTTTGATTGTTTTGTTTACATTGTTTTTGAGTTCTGTAGAGCAAATTGCTTGACGAATGCTGAAGATTGCATTCACTGATTAAATGAATTTATGAACAAATTTAATCAATTGTATGATGTTACCACTTGAAACTTATTTACAGATGAAATGCAGTTTTACTAGTGGACACATAAGCGAGTAGATTTGCATTGTTAAAACTCTTGTTGTAAGTGAATCTTGTTTTTGTTATGAAGATGGGTTTCACTGTTGTAAATAAGGATGTCATTTGAAGGTTTGAACTGAGCCTTTGTATGATCAAATTATCAACCGCCTTTCAATGGTCAAATTATAAATAGATTTATGTGCCATACATTATCTTAGGTTATGCCTGAGTTGGTCATAAGTTAACTGTATCATGCACTGTGTTTCTCAATATTAGCGACTGACAATTGATATTATATTCTTTTGTTACAGTTCTTTGTTGGCGGCAACTGGAAGTGTGTAAGCAACCATCCCTTCTATTATCCGATACATCCAATTAGAAATCCTAAACGTCACAAATTTTTGGCATCATAAAAATCATGGGTGCATTTAATATTTGTGTGGACAAACACTAAACCATTGGGTATGCACCGTAAAACATCCCAATGGACTTGTGGTGCCTACATTGCCAAAAATTTATGATACGTATTCTTGTTCTTTTGATTATAAAAGATACCTGCAATGAATTCCCACCTTGGTGTCTTCCAGGTAAATAGAATGTTTTTATGCGGATATTGTTGTAAGTTGAGGACTAGGACTAGTTGCAATCTTGTTATCGATGGCCCCGCTGGTTTCTATGAATAATGGAAAAAGTTTCAAAGTTTGTTGCAACCAAGGCAGGTAGGCAGGCAGTGGTTACAGGACACAATAGGTTATTGCCTGTATCTTGCAACTTTCCAGTGCACTTGTGACGTTTGCAAGGCAAAACGTTATGATGCGTATCATTGTTTTGCAGTAAACAGTAACTCTTGTTTCTGTTATACCTATCAGATGAACCCAGCTGGTTTCTGGCTTCTGCGAATAATGAAATAGAACAAGATTAAGACTTCTTGCAATGAACGATGTATCAAGTTGTTACAATTAAGACTTGTTGCTCCCCTGTTATTCAAAACAATAGCTAAGGGACTGACATTCTGGCATATGCCAAGTTGAAAGCAGGGACATAGGACATGGCCCAACACAAAATTTCAATACATGACCTTTATGCCTTCATTAGAATCACTTGTAGCACACATTGTTGAAGGCAAATTATATGCGTGCTAGATTCGTACAACTTAGGATTAGTTAAAGAGTTTAAAACTACGAGGGGGTACTTGGTACCCTAGCAGATACATTTTCTGCTTTCACTAAGATGAAATGATATCTGTTATATTGGGAATTCTGAGAACTGATTTCTTTGACATCAGTTTTACTATAAATATGTTTCTTTCTTCTAACTTTATTGTTGCTATTTTCCGTTGTTATTAGTTTGTGGGAGGGAGCTTAATATTAGGCTTTACTTGTATAACGTCCTCATCATATTACAATGTTAAATTAGCATTTATAGATATTTGTTTGTCCTGTGGGCTTACGAAAATGTTTTAAATAAACGCGAATGTGTGTGAAACTGAAACCTGTATATCTTGTGCTTGATTTATACCAAAACCCTGCTGATAGAATATATGAACCCTTCCCCTTGCTTTTCTCTATAGCTTTTGAAAAGTAGTGGTGCTATTCTCATCTCATCCAGTTGTAGTTTCCTCTACTGATTTATCTTGTAATTTTTGTTCTAGAATGGGACAAAAGACTCTATCAAGCAGCTAGTCTCAGACTTGAACAGTGCGACTCTGGAGCCTGATGTTGGTTAGTTCTTATATATTCACCTCTCTTTGATTAAACTGGAACATAATCGCATCATGTCTTACATACAGTTGGTTAAGTGAGGTTTCATACAATTTACTTCAAGTAACCTGTGTGTCATGTGATACAACTACAAGTCGTTTTCTGATCTTCCATTCAATGAAATGAAGTCTACCTTGTATTTAGTATATAGTACCCTGCTTGGTCATCAGAAACTATTAACCGGAATGATAGTTCTAATGAAAATATACATCCATGTGGAGTTGCAGTTTTGTACAAGGAAATCGTCTCAAGTTCAAGCAATGGAGTTCATTTCCATCCTGCCCTTTGATTATTGGAGCTCGGGTTTTGGATGTATGTGGAGCTTGAATTTACTAATTCTGTTGACAAGTTCAGACCTACATCCCGTGACTGTCATGCATAGATGCCCGAGCTTGATGATAATCAATGCCTATTAAAATACTTCTCTTTTCCATCAGTTAGTGTAGGCTTACCTAAAGGGGCCTAACTCTGAATGGTTTGAGCCTGCATCATAGGACATCTGTTTGTGGGTTCAATTCTATAGGCTAAACTGTAGTAGGGGAACATGTTTAGATCTCCCTAGCTTTCAAAAGGAAAGAGTATTGCATGCTTGTAACTGAAAGTCATTATGGTTCTCTTCGGGTTATGGCGATCTACACTCAGATGATTTAACATCCATTCACTAAAATTTTATAAAACCTTTACAAAAAGAGAAGACAACTTAAGAAGCCTGTTATTTATTTGGTCATTTTAATTTTGAATCCTGTTGTAAATTCTTGATCCTCTAGTGGTGAAGAAGTATTTTGTTCTGGTGTTCTTGGAAATTTTTGGTGGTCGTCTGATCTCAGTCTTTTTCTTTGAACTACGCAGATGTTGTTGTGGGACCCCCTTTTGTTTATATTGATCAAGTAAAGAGCTCTTTAACTGACCGCATTGAAATAGCTGCACAAAATTCTTGGATTGGAAAAGGTGGAGCATTTACCGGAGAGATCAGGTATTCATCTTCAATCTTCATTTAACACAATATTTTACTTGATATATAAGCACGAGCCAAGACAGGCTCACTACCAATCAGCCCACTAACTAATCGGTTGCATTGGGTCCTCTTCTTATGTTTCTTTCTTTTCAACAAATAAAGCCTATTAGGAAAAAAACATTGTACAACCTAGACAGGATCACAGATAAGGGATCAACACTTGGATGGAAATTGCTACTGAACTAAATGGGACTGTATGGAGTGCCCTATAGAATAAGATTTAAAAGGTTGTTCCTGGGTTTGAATGTGCACCAGTGGACTGTCCACTACATGGTAACATTGGAAGGAGCAAGGCATGTTGTATGGGTGCAAGCTTGAAATCAATTCGCTACCAAGTTGTTCTTTATTTGAGTACATAAGTAATACCAAAAGGAACCCCAATGAAACCCTCCAATTGTCTTATTTACATCAATACCAAAGGCTTAACCATTTCAAGACGTTCTTTTCTTTTAAATTTTTTATAATGAATATTTGGTTATGTCTCAAAGTAAATTTGACTGCGAGGTCATCGGTCCAATAGGTTTTAGCTCTTTTTATTCTTCGGCTGTATTTACAAGGGAAGATGCTAGAATTTATATGTCTGTGTTTGTCTAATAAGCTATCCATGGGTTTGTCCATTCGATGCCATACCAACAAATCCTTTCTGTTTAAGTTTAGACCTCCTTTAATCCGCTGCCCACTCTTAACCCTCAATCAAGTACAACCCAACCTACACATGGGCCTATTTTGCCAGCTGTATTTCTAATGCATGCATGTTGACCCATTTTTTTTTGCTTTTACTGTGATGAAAGAGAAATGGATAAGCGACAGCTTTATTTTTTTATTAAAGAAATTCAAAAACCGTATATCTGATTGTTTGGACTCAAATGTTGCATACCCATAGGGCATCTTAGTAATGTTTGAAAGGCACTTCTTCAAAGTCCATGGATTTTCCAGGTTACAATTGTGTACATAGTCAACAAGTTAGGGCTTCGTTCCTTTAGAGTACCCAACATAAAAGGAACTTGAATCCAATCTTTCTTTATTACTTTTTACATGCAACACTGTCTGGTTTTGCTCTCCAAGATTGTCAACCATTATGCTTTGTGAGTTTGTGGATTGTGACATAACATTACCGCTTCTAATTGCAGTGCGGAGCAATTGACAGATATCGGATGCAAATGGGTAATTCTTGGACATTCTGAGAGGAGACATGTGATCGGGGAAGATGATCAGGTGAGATTTATTAATTTTTCTGTAAACTACAAAAGATGAAAAATCAACTTTCGTATAAGCAAAGTAGCAAACATGTAAGGCCATTTGGAAGGTCCAAAGAGATGGCTTTGCATCAGTAACTCATGTATTTCTAATATCAGTTTATAGGTAAGAAGGCTGCCTATGCCTTGGGCCAGAATCTTGGAGTAATCGCTTGCATTGGAGAACTCTTGGAAGAAAGAGAAGCTGGCAAAACTTTTGAAGTTTGTTTCAAGCAATTGAAAGCCTATGCAGGTAGGCTTGCACTCCAGACTCCACAAATTATCTCTTGTTCTAATTAGCAGTGAGTTAAAGTTACTTTGCATCCTCATCATTCTTCCTTCGGTGTGTTCCTATGAAGTTTTAATCTCTTCCATTTTGAACATTTCACTTGGCATCTCTTATAATTTTAGTATCATTTTTTCATATTCTAAGTAGCATGGTTTGCATAAAGAGGCTTTGAAGAACAATAAAATCATTTTCTGTATCACTTTTACTGGTTAAAATCCTCAAATGAATTGAAGCATGCCAAATTGCCAAGGAATGAGACCTTTGTTTCTTAGGCACACTCAAGGCACCCATGGTTTCTGATACAGATTTTCTGGACTGCAGCTTGTTGAGTATGAAGCCTAATTCTAATTAGAACTGGTCCATGGCATTGCTCATGGTTCCTGATACAGATTTTCTGGACGGTAACCTTGCAGCAATTTGCATCATTCAGTTATGACGGATGATGGTTGAGGATTACAGCTATTCTCTCTAATCCTGATTCCTGTTTGAATTTTTTTCCTCTAAAGAGGGTGTTCTTCCCTCATGGATTGTTCCTCATTAGGATTCTAGAATCTCTTAACCAAATCCTAGCAACATCTGTCGATGTAAGCAAGTTGCTTAACCATGTAAATACCATGCTCTTTTTTTCATTTCCTACGATGATTGTGTGCATGTGATTATCGACCCCAAGTCCTAACATAGCTCACATGGCATCCATCTAAAATTTACTCCATTATCCAACAAATATTGGGATCTTAACTGTAAATTGAGCTTTGCAGGCGATGTGGTAAAATATTAGAATTGAAAAAGAAAGGCATAGTCTGGGGAAGAGTTGGTGCAATAGTTCTTAATTGCCTTAGTTTATGTAATATGCATCCTTGATCTTGTGCAGATGCCGTGCCCAGTTGGGATAACATAGTGATTGCATACGAGCCTGTATGGGCTATTGGAACCGGTAAAGTGGCCTCACCCGAGCAGGCTCAGGAAGTACATGTTGCTGTTCGTGACTGGCTTGCTAAAAATGTGTCAGCCGAAGTTGCATCTAAGACACGTATCATCTATGGAGGTATTGCAAGTCAACGATAAATATTTATCCAATATGGCCTAAAGATTTTGTTTCACAAGTGATTTAATTTGTTAGCTATGTTGTGCACATATATGTATGGTTCAAGGGCTCTTTTGGAGAGTAGTCTAATGGGGTTCCACGTATTCTCTCATGGTACCAAAGCCAAGGTCTATCACTCTGGCCGATCTGTAGCAAACTCAAGTTGGTTTCTTGTGATCCACCTTGAGTTTGAAAGGGGGGGGTAGCTTTGTTGTGTTCATATATAATATGTATACAACATAGCTACATAATTATTGTGAGAAGTAACCAAAAATGCCTTAAATGACATTGTTTGTTAAGTTATGATGCAAACATAATTTCATTTTGAAGGTCGAGATTGTAATCCACGTTGCTGATAATGGGTTTTCTTTTCCTTTCCCTTATCCTTTTGTCGGGTTGTTTGAAAAGGAGGGACCAAGCTTTAGCAAATTTAAGGTTATGCATCTTAAGTTAATTTAAGAAGTAGCCTATATGGAATTTTGAACTCTTTTAGCCACTTGCTAATCCTTACTTGCACTATCAGTGATTGGTTTTGTTGATCAGAATTGGTTTTAACTTCCTTCCCAGGATCCGTAAATGCTGGCAACTCCGCTGAGCTGGCCAAAAAAGAAGACATTGATGGATTTCTGGTTGGTGGTGCTTCTTTAAAGGTATTATCTCATCTTTGACAGTATTTTAAATTTAAATGGCCTAGTTGCCCATTACCATCGTTACAAATGGGTCCAAAAGATTCTTTTATTTGCCTGCATTAAATAGTACTTAGTTTAGTGGATTTAGATATTTTGCAGATTGTCAAACATTTTACTTGTACGATGTCCCGAGGCAAAAACCCAATCGTCATGGGACAATTAGGGAGTAAATAATAGCATGAAAGAGAACACGTGTACACAATCGAAGAGTCTGGTACAGAACTGGCATTAACCTAACGTATCCTATCTAATAACATACCTTATTAATTGATTTAGCAATTAATGCTAAACAAGTTGTTCCCCATAGTCTACCTCAGGACTCGGGAGGGAAAGTTCAAATGAGAACTATAAATATTTTGAGAACCCGAGAACCAACTATTTCATGTATTATTCATGATGAATAACCCTATTCATGAATATTATTCATCACGAATATCATGTATATTCAATATGAAATTTTTTCATGATGAATATCTATCATGATATTCATCATAAATAATACATGAATAGTTGGTTCCCTCGTTCTCATTTGAACCTGAACCTGCCCTACCTCAGGATGCCAAGCTGTTCCTCTCCACCTGTTTGTCCAATGGGCACAACAGGAAATTACAGAACTTGACAAAAACCCAAAAGAAAACATGATGATTCAGACTGTAGAATTTCAATTAATGTAGAGATTAATGGTTCAAGATTCATGATTGTCAGTCTTTTATGCAGGGTTCTGATTTTGCAACCATCATTAACTCCGTGACTGCTAAAAAGGTTGCTGCTTGATCATCGAGTCTCATTCGGTTTTTGGATTGGGGGCAAGTAAGTACCTTAGAGTATCATCTTAGTTCAGGTTATGATCCTATCGGCATGCAAGCCAATTGAATTTAGCAGTTCAATCCATCTCATTTCACTCCGCTTTTAAAAACGGATACATAGCACTTCAATATGCACTATGTGCAATTTCTTTTACACATAATTTGTAATAGACGTTTATCACCCCAGGTCCACAAGACTTCTGGTCACAACTTTGAAGTAAAACAAGAACACAGAAATATGCAATAAAGTAAATGGGAAATTTATGCAAATGCACTTTTGTTTACCTTCACCAGATTATAAGACTTCTGTTTACCTTGGTTCTGGCCTACATCTACCCTCATTAAGGTCCCAACCTAGTTTTTACATAGCCATTTCTATAAAACTTGTTAAATATGATACTTTAGAAAAATGCCATATAAAAATGATGGTAGGACGATTTACTTCTTGTGTCCTATTAGGTTGCTGGACTTTATCGATAGAACTTGTTAGGTTGCATAATTTTGTCCTACAATTTATTGTAACACCTATTACATAAGATGTACAATTATTGGTCTTAGAAACTTGAAAGTCCCATTAAATAGTTTATTAGGGTGTGTTTGGTACACAAACGGGACTGGACAGGATGGGATAGGACAGGAGTAGACACGTGAGAGTGAGGTAGGCGGGTGAAATTTATTTGGAAGTTTTTAAGATTTTAATTTGAGATGAGAAGATTAGTAATTTACCAATCTTGTCCCATCTCCTGATTTTTGTTTGACCTATTTGGGTGGGATAGGATAGAAAAGAAATGCATTTTTGTCGTATTCAGGTTCCAATATGATATCACTACAAACATTCGACAACAAGTTTTTATACAGTCCCCTATCTATCCCGCTTACCAAACGCACTCTTAGGACACAGAAAAATAGTTAGGCATCTTAAAAAAACCATTTTGTATCCCTGCACCTGTACCCTTGAGGAAATGTATGCTTAGCTTGTTTTGATGAGCATTAGTTATCTTTATTTGGCATCAACTGCTTGAGTGGGAGTTAATCCAAAACTAAAGTAATTAGGGTTAGAATCCATACTCAAAGAATAGATACCATAACCCACCCTATCTGCAAAGCAATCTCAACCTTTTATGCATCACTCTCAACAACCTACTATTTCAAGAAAGGTAAGAAACATAAGTACATATATGTATATGTATATGTATATGTATATGTATATGTATATGTATATGTATATGTATATGTATATGTATATGTATATGTATATGTATATGTATANATGTATATGTATATGTATATGTATATGTATATGTATATGTATATGTATATGTATATGTATATGTATATGTATATGTATATGTATATATAGGGGTAGGTTCAAGAGATAACCCTATAACAAAGAGAATAAGAGATCCCATCTGAACCATCCATCTAGTTTAATCCAACTGTTGTGAATAACAACAACAGTTACATTTTCCAAAACTAAATCTGTGATTAAAGAGGCGGTTACATCTAACCCTGACCATCTATATTTTAGATCCAACGGTTGATAGAGGTTCTCTTGTTCTCTTCTATTTAGGGTTTTCTGTTAAACCTCCTAATCTATATATACAGAGAGAGAGAGAGAGAGATGGACCGGTTCAACCTGAACGAAAGGAGCCTGGAGTCGAAACAAGGGTCAATATCCCAGACCTTGTCATCCATCTCACTACCACCTCTTCCTTTGGTTGCGATCTTCGCAATTGTTGTGTTCCTGCTGTCCCTATCACAAGACTCGAACTTCACGTCTTGGTCAAGTAATATAGGAATCAATCTTCAGTTGCTCGTCCTCTTAACTCCCATTATCCTCGTCTTTTTCTTGTCGTCAAGCTGGATCACTGATGGACGGTGGTTTGCTTTTGGCTCACGGAAAAGGAGAGACTCCATGAACCTTAGTCGTGTTTCTGACGAGTATGGAACCTGAGTCAGACCATACTCCAAACCATACCTTTGTGATTCTAACCAACTGTTAAGACAGTGATCCTATCGATATTCATTTTCTGTTTTTTACGAAGTTCACAAAATATAATAAAATGATGGCAACATCTATATGTAAATTGTTGAACCAAGTGTGTAATCTTCTGTTTCCCGTTATTACTTATGAGTGCACGATTATCGATCCTGAAATTCGTACAGCAGCAGTAAAGTTGTGGCAATGGTTTGAACCACTTTGGAGTTATGATCGGTCTCGGTCAAAAAGTGTCATCTTGTAGCTGGTTATGACATTAGTCATTCCTTGGTCCAAAATGTGTTTGTAACTGATATGGACTGGTGTAATCGGTTTCAAGACCTAGTTTACTTTGTGCGGTTCGTTGCCACATGATGCTCATAACCTGCTAACCCTAAATGGCCCCTTAATTGGCCATTTAGAAAAAAAGTTATACATATACATATATAGAGAGAACAAGGAAATTTACTTTGCAAACCACGTTATTTGTATAAACCGTACAAACCTCATTCAACTAATCATAATTTTTCATTATGTTCATTTTTTTGTAATTATAAGGGGTATATTAATCATTTTTATTGTGGTGGGTGTTAATCATGAATACTATTATATTCATTATTTTAATTTTAAAGAAATACATGAAACTTCATTAAAATTTCATTAAGTATTATACAAAACAATTTCACAACCATATATGAAACAACTTCATCAAAAAAAGTATTATATGAAACAATTTCATGAAAAAATTTCATAAGATTAAACAATGAAATCGACGGATGAGGGTGGTTTGCACGGTTTGTACAAATTGAGTGAGTTGCATTTGAAACCATTTTTTACACTTGAAACTTCACAGCAAAATATTGTGAAGGTAACCTTCACAGTGTTTTTGCTGTAAATGTTCGGTTTTTTTTATCTTCACAAGGTTTTGATGTGAAGTTTCAAGTTCAAAAAAATGGTTTCACGGGTCACTAAAACAGGTTGATCTCACGTGAATCCTATCTTATATATATATATATATATATGTATATATATATATATGTATATATATATATATGTATATATATATATATGTATATATATATATGTATATATTAGGAATCAACATGTATAACCGGTCAATAAATGTCACGGATCCTTGTTTGGATTTGGGTTTTAATCGTTCTTTTCAGGCCTTCATACCCATCTATACTTTGGAATAAAGTATTACAATTATAAGTAAAAACCGAAAAGTCACCTAACTTTTGATGATCGATTCAAATCCAAATGAATCCGTTTTAGACACTTATAACTTAAAGCTTGAGCCAAATAGAACCATGCACACTTGTGTTATCTCAAGAGGAAATTGTCAAACGGGCATAGTTATGGCTATAATGCCTAAATATCTATAAATCCACACCGTTTTAGGATTGTATAATCATTGTACCTTTTAATTAATTAATTAGAATGACTCCAACTCATGAGAACATCTCTAACAATTATGTTAAAATGGATAAAAAGAGGTATTGTAACATTTTTATTGCTTCAAAAGCTATGCTATCTTTCATACTAAAATAGAGAAAAGAGAGAGAGACTAAAAATCTCTAAATTTAAAGAAATCTCTAAAATAAAATTGAAATAAAATCGGTAGTAGAGAGAAACAATATTTTTATTAAATATATTTAATATTTTATTAAAATATTTAATGCTAGAATTGCTAAAATAGAGTAGCTGTTAGAGTTAGATGTAAAATTTACAAAAGATTATAACATTTCAACTCTATATAGAAAAATTATAGGATAACTTTTAGAGATGCTTTGAATAGTGACTTATAGAGAGAAGCTTTAAAAGGTCAAACATTATTGTCAGTTAAGTTAACCCCTCAAGGTTATTAAACCATCAATTATTTTTATGCATTCTCGAAAGCTACAATGAATATTTCCGTAAACTCAATAATATTTTTAACAAGTATATAGTCTGACCGACATATGTTCAACCAAAATACTAACAGTTAAGCAATACAATCTTGTTAAATCCTTGATGTTTTTGATCTTCGAGTCCTAAATCATTATCGTGTATGATCCTTGAAACACGAGAACAACATAATCAAGATTATTGGATTCGTTAGTAATGTTAACGCTCACAAAAATTAGAAAACCAATTTTTTTTTCAGTATCTTGTATTTGTCTTTTTTATTCAGTTCTCCTGATTTATGTAAAATGTAGGGAAAACCTATACAGGGTGGATAGGTATTTTAATACATTTCCGATTGTTGATTGTTTTCAATTTCATAAACATGAAAACATTCGATATTCAATCACGATGTAAATCATACATGGAAATAAATTTGCACTGTAGTTGTAAGTGGAGATGCCAAAAAAAAAACTTAATCTGAAACTCAGCCTGAAAATGATAAGACTAGTGAACTTGAAGCCTAGTCCAGACCACACCTTAAAGTCTGATCAAGCCAATATTTTGAGGGTAAGCTCGACTTGGTCTGGTTAAGCCCGAAAAAGTGTGGCTCACAAAAGTCCAATCGAACCCTTTTTCAACACCAACGCACATCCCGACTCAAATCAATAGAACACAGACTGTTTTTATTCATTTTCTTTGACCGGAAACTATGTCCCTATCTTTGTTTGACACGTTTTCTGAAGTCCTTCAAATAAGTTTAGGTGTGATTCTGCTTATATTCAATTATATATTCTAGAAACCGTAATTTAAAATATAAGCTCGTTAATAAGGAAAAAAAACTAGTTTTTCAATGATAAAAACATTAAAACCGAAGATCAAAAGTATCCGTAGGTCTCAGGTTCGAATCTAAGGAGAAATAAGGGGTTGTTTGCCAGTTGCTGAATGGTATGGTGTAAAATGATTAAGTGGTTAGAATGATTAAAATGCTTTCATGATATAGTGCAAAATGAAATAAAATTGTTTACAATGAAATCAAGACACTTAATGATTAAGGGAGGCTCAGGATACAAAATCATTCAGAGGATTTTAGAACAATTAAGAGACAGATTTTTTTTGCCAAATAAGATTCACCTCTTAATGATTCAGATGACCTCTCTTAATGGAACTATTAAGAGGTAAACAAACAACCCCTTAAAAATCTTCTTGTAACCATGAAGGTTCAAATGCGATGACTCTAGGCTACTCACAAAGCAGGTGATCAACCTGTGATTGATCGGCTCGAATTATGGATTGAATATCCAGATTAATAAAAAAAACCATTAAAACCGAACTAATTGAGACAAACCTTGTCCTACAAAAACCCGGTTTTTGACTCAGAATATTTAATTGTATTGCTGATATCTTTATATTTATTTT